ACATCTGCTTGGTGCCACAAAGGCTCTCCTCCGGTTTGCTACCAGAGAAACCATCAGAGCAGTCCTTTGGATTAGCCCTGCTATTATTAGGATGATGTTTTCTCCTCTAATATCCAGCTTTGAGCTTCCTTATGCCATTTAAACCTATTGCTTATTTGCTGTGGCCACGAGGAACAGATAATTCCATTCCTCTTTGCAACAGCCTTTTATTTTCCTGATGACTGCTATAATGTTGTCTCATTTTTCTGTCTTTAGGCAAACTACTGCAATTCAATTATTCTTTTGGCACAGGTGGTATTGATTATTCCTAAGTATTCTTGTCCCTAGCACTTTTGCCATTTAAACTATCCTCTGTTTTAAGAGCTAATCTCTACCTCAATAAATCTGTCATCTGGAAGCTTAAGAAAACACAAGTATTTTTTTTTCATACAATGTGTAAATAAATGATGGAAGACTTTACACTGGGCAGTGCAGAAGCCAAATTATAAATGGGCTCAAAAAAGGATTATACAGAGCCCTTATGGAAGAATAGTCCAGAGGGAGCAGCTGAAAATAAATTTCTGAATGCAACCCCTAGCACAGGAGTTCTGAAATTATGGATTGTACCTGGGAGGGATGAACAAGGAGAGGGCTGTTCTTTACTTGCCCTGTTTCTCACATCCTTTCTCTAAGCATCTGTTACAGGATGTTGCAGTTATGACCTTCTTTTGTGGGATTGCTTCATCCTTAATGAGCTTAGGATACCCTGGTTTGCATATGCATTTTGTAAATTTGTTGGCTTATTATTTCTGATAAAACTCATAAAAGGATTATGGGCCTCTTATCTGCTACCAGATTAATTGTGAGCTAAAACAGCAAAGGTTAAGAGGTTTGCCATTTCCTTTCTTCTCCTCCTGCAGATGGCTGCCTGAGTCTCTCTAAAAACATTTATCCTTCATCTTGTTCATTAGTTGTTGACCTATACCTTGTAATACAATCCTCATTCCTTTTTAAGATAAAGGGAAAAAATTATGTAATTATGGAGATAGTCTCATTCTTTGAAACATCTAATTATTTTTTTCAACTGTCCTTATTTCTTGGTTTAAGTTTTAAGACAGGGAATTCCAATTCTGAATTATTCAAGAAAAGAAAAAAATCATAGTGCCCGTTTTTACGTAGCATCACTTTGGTTTTACTTACTTCCCTCTCCTCCTTGCCTCATTTTTATTATTAACAAATGTGGTTGAGATTGGTCTTTGGAGGAGAGTAAATTGATTCTGTACAACCTGGGTATTATTGGTGGGTAGGGGAAGAGCCAATTAATTGAATGCCAGGGCTGATATCAATCCCTTTTCCAGCTTCTATTTTCTGACTCATTTTGTGATTTCTTGGTAATGTTTATCTCCACCTGGCATTCAATGCTGTGACATGACCACCACAGAATATTATTTTTATTTTATCCACTCTGGCAAGGATTGTATATTTTGGTCTCTAACCCTGTCCTTCCAGGGTGGGTTTTGCTGCAGCCCCTTCTTTCCTGGTGGGCTGCAGATACAACCAAGTGCAACCATCAGCAGTTCTGTGCCAGTGGTGGGGTGGTCTGGGATGGAATGGGGAATAAAGGATCCCTCTGAGGGTCTGACAGCCCTGGCAGGTGCTGATAACCCTGACCTGCCCCAGGTGGGGCATTGGCATCCCTGCCCCACCCTGCCTAATCCAATCCAATCCAATACAATACAATCCAATACAATCCAATCCAGCCCAGCCCAGCCCAATCCAATCCAGCCCAGCCCAATCCAATCCAACCCAACGAAATCCAGCCCAATCCAATCCAGCCCAGCCCAGCCAGCCCAACTCAATTCCATCCAATCCAATCCAAGCTATCCCAGCCCAGCCCAGCCCAACCCAATCCTATCCAATCCAATTTATCCCAGACCAATCCAATCCAATCCAATCCAATCCAGCCCAGCCCAGCCCAATCCTATCCAATCCAATTTATCCCAGACCAACCCAGCCCAGCCCAGCCCTGGCACTCTGGGCTCAGGGTTAAATCCCATTCCCAGCTCCTGCCTCCTCCCCTGGCTCTGCCCAAGCCCCTGGGCTCCTGCTGGAGCTGCGCCCCCCTGGCTGCAGAGCAGGTAAGGGATCAGGGCAGCCCAGCCTTGGGGCTGGGATTGGAGCTGCTGCCTCCTGAGGTCCCTGGGTGGGTTTTTGGGGGACTGCAGGTGCTCTGTTCTGCAGTGGGTTTGGCCCTTTGGCTGTTGGGAGTTGCTGCAATGTTTGTTTCCTTATTGAAATCTTCTCTGAAGAATGTTTTGAAAGTAAATGGATTTGGGGCACAGTTCATGGCCGTTCATGCCAGCCTGTGCCAGCTTCGGTTCGTGGGGATGTGTTGGGTTAGCTGAGTGCTCCATTGGGATTGTTTGCTGTTCCTGGTGGATAAGCCTGGAGAGGGGCAGTGTGGGCAGCTGAGGGTGAAAGTGTTGGAGCTGTTTTCCATTAATCCACTTACAAGTGTGAGTTAACTCCTTGAATCACAGGCAGTAAGTATTTCTCACTGGCCTTCACTTTGCTTAATGTGGCTCACCTGCTGTGATTTCAGAAAGGGAATATAAATGTTACTCTGGCACTGCAGAGTGCAGAGATGGCTGCGGAATTCTACTTGTTAATATAAGCTGAAAATCTGTGCAACTTCATAGGAGTGACTGAAGAGCACAAAGCTAAAATCCTGCAATTTGTAGTTATTCGGTTGGTACACCAGATTTTATCTGCTTGTAGGAGCCTCAGGCTTCACTGAGGTTTCATCCAACCATTAATGACCATGTTAAAAATGAGTTTATGACAAATACCTGACTTTATATTTGTTTTGGGGTGTGTTGAATTTATGGACTTTTGAAAACAAAACCAAAATCCCTGTGAATGAGACCAAAATGGAGTAGAAAGATTAACTTCTTTGAATGGTTGTTGTCCTCCTTTATTTTTATTTTTAATTGATTGTTCTTGTTTTCCCCTGGAGCTGCAAGGGTCTGTTTGTTCCTTCATAATATAGCTCTGTCACATACATGCAGCAAAGCAAAATGATAACTGATGTGTTTTATCTGATTCCTCATGGAGGAATTCTGCACAGTATACATGATGCACAAAAATAACACAACACTAATTGAGAGATATATATCTTAATTTAGATTAGTTCTTTTCTTAGTTCTTAACAATTACTAAGTGTTTTTATGAGCCAGATACCATTTCTCGCTTTCCACAGTAAGTTTTGTAATTAACAATGGATACAAGTGGCTTCAGGCAAGATCTTTGTATGTGTGTGTATATATATATATGTATGAGAGATGCTTTCTCACTTTCTGCTAAGACATTTATCAGAATTGCATATTTTTGCTTTGGCAGGACCTTTATTGCCTTCTCTAAAGTTTTTAATATTTTGAGCACAGCAGTAACTTTTTTTCAATTGTTTGTGAGCTCATCTCATTTACACTTTACTTGCTAACTGAAAGTAGCATTTCTGGAGAAAATAAAATGGCATTTGGGGATGGGAATGCCTGTGAAGCTGTATCATCTGGCTTTTTGAAGATAATAGAAATGAAAATAACTAAATGCAAAAGAACAAAATTAATGATAGCTGATCTTATGTAGTGGAGTGTTCCTCTCCTAAAAACTTTCAATGGAGACAACAGTTACAAATTGTTTTGGAAAGCAAAGTCAGACTTTAAAGTGTACAAGAGGCAGCTCCATGGTCATTATACTCGCTGAACAAGCATGCAGGCAAACATCACAAAACTCAACATTTCAAAACATTTCCAAAGATGCAAGAATGCATTTGAAAGGCGCCCAGTTCTATCAAATA